CCGGAATTACAGGCGCGCGCTACCATGCCCGGCTGATTTTTTGATTTATTGTAGAGATGAAGTCTTGCTGCCCAGGCGGGTCTTGAACCCGCGGCCTCAGGCAATCCACTCACCTCAGCCTCCCAAAGGCGCAGGATTACAGACTGAGCCACCGAGCCCGGCACCAGATTTTCAAAGAAGCCAAAGACCTGAAAGAGGTTAAGAACCTTTCCCCAGAGGCTGAGGGGGCCTAAAAACGGCATTCCCAGCCCAGACATCTATGAGAAACCATCCCCCGGAATATACATTCCAAGAAGGCAAGGATCTGTACCTGTTTGGTGCACTGTTGTATCCCAAGTGCTTAGAATGGTGTCTGGCACATTTTAGGTGAAGGTGTAAAATGATCGAATGTGGTATCAGACAGTTGCAACTATTGTATAAACTGCATGTGAATTGGTTATCTATTGTGGAGTAACAAATTATGTCCAAATACAGTAGCTTCAAACTACATTTGTTATGTCAGTTTCTCTAAGTCAGGAGATGAGGTACAGCTTAGCTGGGTCCTCTGCTTCAGGGTCTCTCAGCAGGCTGCAAAATGGCAGCCAGGGCTGCAGTCATCCGAAAGCTTGATGGGGGAAGGATCCACTGCCGAACTCATCACGTGATGAGGGATACAATTCCTTACTGGTTGGAGGCTGCTTCCAGTTCCTTGTCACCACATGGCTAGCTTGCAACATGGAAGCTGGCTAGCTTGCTTCATCAGAGTCAGCAAGAGGGAAGTATGAGAGAGAAAGAGAGAGAGTGGGAATAAGAGCAAGAGAGAGAGAAACTCACAAGGCAGACGTTGCAGTCCTTGGTAACAACCTTAGAAGTGGCGGTGCAGCACTTCGCTGTGTTCTGCTTATTAGAAGCAGGTCTCTTGGTCTAGGATACTTGCAAGGGAAGGGGGTTATACAAGGGCATGAATGTCAGGAAGGGGGGTCTTTGAGGCAGCCTTCCACGAAGCATTTACAACCAGCTTTCTCATACAGCGTCCAGTTTATTGGAACGCCCGGAGCAGAAGGCACAGGCCACATACAGGTCAAGCAGATGAAGAGACGAGGGAAGAAGTTAGTGGTGGGAGGTGTGGTGGACAGTCGAGCCTCTGTCCATCCCCATCAGACTGCTACCAACCAGGAATGCAGGTCAGCTACTGTCAGATCTTCCACAATTTCAAAAGAAGCCAAAGTTCAGATTCTTTGAGACATTTTTTGATTTTTGTTTTGTTTTATTTTGAGTCGGGGTCTCATTCAATCACCCAGGCTGGAGTGCAGTGACATTATCATGGCTCACCACAGCCTTGAAATTCTAGGTTCAGGGATCCTCCCACCTCAGGCTCCCAAGTAGCCGGGACTATAGGTGCACACCACCATGCCCAGCTAGTTTTTTTATTTTTGTTAAGTTGAGGTCTCACTCTGTTGCCTAGGCTGACCTTGAACTCCTGGGCTCAAGCAATCCTCTTGCCTCGGCCTTCCAAAGTGCTGGGATTACAGGCATGAGCTACCACAAAATGCCTGGCCTCATTTTGTGATTTTTAAAACTGTGATAATCAAGCAAAAATACATCTGAGGACTAGCAGTTTATGACTCCTCCCTATGGCAGAAAGAACTCACCTCATTTTAATTTCTTTCCCTTTTTTTGAGACAGTGGCACAATCATGGCTCATTGAAGCCTCAACCTCCTGGGCTCAAGAAATCCTCCTGCCTCAGCCTCCTGAGAAGCTGGCACTACAGGCTGTGCTACCACAACCAGTTAATTTTTTAAACATTTTATTGTAGAGAAAGGGTCTCACTATGTTGTCCAGGTTGGTCTCAAACTTCTGGCCTCAAGTGATCCTCTCGCCTCGGCCTCCCAAAGTGCTAAGATTACAGGTGTGAGCCACTGTGCCTGCCCTCACTTTAATTCTTTGTGCCCTTTTTATGTCTGTTCTTTCTCTCCTATCCCTCTCCTCTCAACCCCACTTGCTCATGTAGGGCAGGGATCTAACTAATTCATTTTGGACACTTTCCACAGCTCTTTGCACATAGTAGTAGACCAGTAATAAATATTGCCAAATGAAACAAAACTGCTGACATATCTCACTAGGGACCATTCTCTTCAGTCCTAGAGCAGTGGTTAACAGTGGCCTCTGGGTCGGGTGCAGCGACTCACACCTGTAATCCTAGCACTTAGGGACGCTAAGGCAGGAGGATCGCTTGAGCCCAGGAGTTCAAGACCAGCCTAGGCAACATAGTAAGTCGTCTCCCTCAAAACTTAAAAATTAGCTGGGCGTGGTGGCGTGCGCCTATAGTCCCAGATACTCGCCAGGCTGAGGCAGGAGGATCACCTGAGCCCAGAAGGTCGAGGCTGTGGTGAGCCGTGATCGTGCCACTGCACTCCAGCTTGGGCGACAGAGTGAGACCTTGACTCACTCAAAAAAAAAAAAAAAAGTGGCTTCGGGTCTGTCTACATTGGAGTCCTGGATCTGCCACTTGCTTGCTGTGTGGCCTTGGGCAATTACTCGCTTTTGAGAGCCTCAGCTTTGTACCTGCCCCACAGTTGTTAGACGGATTAGCTGAAATAACACATGGAGGCACTTAGCACAGAGCGCAGCACCTAGCAGCCTCGCCACACCTGTGAGCTGTTCTGACTCACCCCTCCCTTCTCTGCTCGCCGGCCCCCTGCCCCGTCTCCCCTCAGCCCGTGATCTACCAGGCTTCCGCCCGTCCACCTCGCTGGCAGTTCCAGCGCGCCTCCGAGATGCACGCCTGCCGCTGTTGCTAGGCTTCACGTCCTTCAACAGCTGGCTGATGCCCTCGGTAGGGGCTCCCAAGCCAGCACAGCTCCCCGGCTCTGGCGAGCCGCCCTGCCAGCCCCCGCCCCCCCGCTCGTCTCTGCGCGCTTCACACCCGGCTCCGCGGCCCAGAAGCTCTCCTTTCCCGGGTGCTTCTCGCCCTCCGCCACTTCGGAGCCTTTGCAGCCGCCGTTCCCTCCAGCTGGAACCTTTCTCCCCACTCCCACCACCGGCTCTAGACGTTTCAACTACCCGCCGTCACAGGATTCTTGGTGTTCCTTGCTAAACTGAGGCGGATTCAGTATCTGTGTTCCCCAGCGCTGCTCAATTCCAAGCCCGGCGCCGCAGAGGATGGGAAAGGGGGAGCACGTGGTGGACTTGGCCGCTGCCGCGCTGTGAGCGGACAGCGCCGCCTGTCGGCCAAAGTCCGTACCGCAGCACCCAGGGAGGAGCTTTGTGGCGGACTACTCCAGGTAGGTGAACGGTGTTTTCCAGGGGTGCATCCGGCGTCGCCTTACATCAGAATTAGCAACGAAAAGTGCTAACGCTATTGTGTACTGAATGTCTGCTGGGTACTTTCCTAAGTGCTTTAGTTCTTAACACGTTTAGTTGCCACAACCACCCAACGCGGTAAGTATCTTTATTGCCACTTTAGGGATGGGATAGAGGCACACGGCAGTTAAACGCCTCACCCAAGGACACACAGAAAATTTCCGTTAGACTCCAGCAGTCTGACTTGAACCTGCACTTGGAAGCCCCAAACCCACTGCGTCTGTTCTTCATTCTATCTCCAATGACCTGGGTTCACCCTAGATATTTCCAGATACTTCCACCACGAAGGGCCACTCTGAAGGTGCTGCTGTCAGTGGCACTGCCATCCTCCAAAATCCCAGCTGGAGGCCCATGCATTCTGAAAGCTGCCCAGTCCTCCGAGGACGCTCCTCAGGGGGATGGCACATGCAGGAGTCAGTCAGCTCTGGCCTCCACACTACTCTGCTTGCATGACCTCCAGCAACTTGCCTCTTAAATCCCAGCTCCCCTTCACCCTCGCCCCTAAATCACAACTTCATATCATTTGTGGATATGCCAGCTTGTTTCAATCCATTTCAAGTTGCTTTGTAAATATCTACTGAGCACTTCCTACACCCATCAATGTGCTATGCCCAGTAAAGCATTATGTGCTTACATGCAAGAACACATTTAATCCTCACAATAGTCCCATGACTATCCCCATTTTACAGATGAGGAAGCCAAAGCACACAGAAGTGACATACCCAAGTGCAAACCTAAGCTCTTACTTTTTTTTTTTTGAGACAGGGTCTCACTCTGTGGTTCAGGATGGAGTACAGTGGTGCCATCATGGCTCACCTCAGCCTCTCAAAGTGCTGGGATACAAGCGTGAGCCACCTGGCCTGGCCAGCTGTCTTATCCTTAAATGCTGCATTAGACTCCCTCTGCTCGTAGAGGCTATGTGGGTTTTCTTTACTCTCAAATGCCAAGCACACTGCTTTGCACGTAATAGGTGTCAGCAAACTGGTTTTACTATATATACACATACATACACACATTCACAGTCACATTCCAGTGTGACAAATGCCCCTTCTTCAACCAGGAGAGAGCGCTATCACACTCCGGGTTCCTGAAGACTCTAGCGAATGCCTAGGCCTGGCAGTTTTCACAGATGACACCCAGTGGGGGCCCTTTTATTAAAGCAGGAAGGGGCTGGGTGCACCCCACGGTGTGTCTTGTCTGGGGCCTTAAGCGGGCCCAGAGCTCTGCTGCACCCTCTTCATCAGCTCTTCATCCTGCATCGATAACTCCGTCAGCTTTTTGCCCATCCGCTCATGGATGTCCAGGTACTTGGAGACACATCGGTCCAGGCACACAGACTCGCCCTTGGACAGCTCTGCTTCCTTGTAGTGGGGAGGCACGCACTTCCGGTGACAGGCACTGGTCATTCTGGGGAGAAAGGGAGGGGCAAGATCATGTCTGCAGCATTCTGTGACATACCAGGAACCCTCAACCATTCAGTGCTGCTATATGGACTTCCACTTTCCCATGATGCAAATCCTCAGTGTGTACCTCAACCATCTTGGAAGGTCCTTGGAAGGCAAACTTTGTCTGAGCCCACGAAGATGATTACTTAAGTAGAAATCATTTGTTGAGCAGTGGCTACGTGCCAGGCATCATGCTATGCTAAGTACTTTCCATGGACTCTGTTATGCAGTCCTTATAATAACCCTCTGAGGTAGGTACAGTCCTTATCCGCATTTTACAAATGAGGTAATTCAAGCACAGAGAGGCTCAGGAATTGGCTAAGGATCACACAGAGCTTTGGATATGAACGCAGGTAGTCTGACTTCACAGCTGATATTTAAAAATCATTCTAATTTACAGCTTCCAAGATCAATCAATCAAGACAGCTTAAGCCAATAAAAACTGCAGACACTTGACTGGCGATTATGTGTTGGGCTTGATGCAAAGGGCTTTCACATATTTAGTATGTGTGATATCTCTATGAAGCAGGTATTATTACCATGCCCATTTTATAGATAAGAAACCAATTGCCAAATGGTTCCCCAAGTATACTGCTGGTGACTGGTGAAGCCAGGATTTATTCCCAAATTTGCCAAATAGTTATGAGCACTAGTTGTGGAGTCAGACTGAGGTACTAGTCCTGGCATTGTTACCAACCAGCTGTGGACCCTGAGAAAATTACTTAACTTCTCTCTCTTTTGAGTCAGGGTCTCACTCTGTCACTCAGGCTGGCATGCAATGGCCCTATCATGGCTCTCTGCAGCCTCAACCTCCTGGGCTCCAGTGATCCTTCTGCCTCAGCCTCCCAAGCAGCTGGGACTACAGGTACATGTCACCACATCCAGCTACTTTTTTGATTTTGTGTAGAGATGAGGTCTTGCTATGTTGCCCAGGCTGGTCTCAAACTCCTTGACTCAAGTAATCCTTCCACCTTGGCCTCCCAAAGTGCTGGGGTTAAAGACATAAGCCACCATGCCTGGCCATTATTTAACCTTTAAACGCCTCAATTTCCTCATCTTAAAATGGGACTAAAAAGGCTAAACTGCTGGATTATTTTGAAGATAAAATATATGCACATGTGAAATGCTCAGCAAGTACATGAAACCAAGTAAAATTTGTTGTTGTTGTTGTTGTTTTAGTTGGAGTCTCACTCCATCGCCCGGGCTGGAGTGCAGTGGCACGCTCACTGCCACGCTCACTGCCACCCCAGCAATGACCTGCTGGGCTCAGGCAATCCTTTCGCCTCAGCCGAACTACAGGCGCGCACTACCACGCCCGGCTAATTTTTTGATGTATTGTAGAGATGAGGTCTCACGAAGTTGCCCAGGCTGGTCTCGAACCTGTGGGCTCAGGCAATCCACTCACCTTGGTCTCCCAACGTGCTGGGATTACAGGAGCCACCATGCCCAGCCCGGGTAAAAGTTTTTTAAAATGTTAACTAATACGTGGATTATGTGCTACTTGTCAAAAGACAAATGCTGGGAACCTAACCAGAGCCAGGACTGCAGCTTCTCTTCCTGCTGGGCTCTTTCACTGCCAATTCCATTCCCATATAAACTAAACGCCCCTCTCACTCTAGAGACCCTACACTGCATCTTCATTAGTGTCCACCGCTGGGATTAAGTATGAGCCTCGGACTCTCCTACACTAAAGAAGGCATTTGGCAGAAGTCACCCACCTTGCCTAAGGGTGACCAAGGCTAATTTTCCAACACAGGGTAGCGAACAGTCAGCTGTGTACCTGTTGTACATATCGGCCATCATCTCCACCTCCAGCTCGGCTGCCAGCTGCTGGGCCCTGAGTGGATCCATCTCCGCCTGGCACCGTCTCCTTCGGGCCTCCTAATCCTGGGGACAGACGTATGGTCAGCACTTAACCCCGCCCCCTTTCATTCTCCGATCCCAGGGGCGAGAAGATGCAGAGGGCGTCAGATCTGCATGGCCACTGACCTCGGCGGGCTTAACTACCCCATTTCACAGATGTGGACACTTGGGCCCGGACGGGAACACCGCCCAGCCAAAGTTCACACAGGACATCCGTGGCGGGCCTGGAACCCGAGTCCCGGGAGCCCTGGTGCCCCAGTCCCTCCAGGTCACCTCTGTTCTGAAGATCGAGAGCCCTGGGCGGAACACTCTAAACCTCGGGCGCCCTGGGAATTCGGTCATACACTGAACCGAGGCCCCAGGACCCGGCCCAAAGCCTGCACCTCCGAAACGGCGACGTCATCCTCAAGCTCACATTGACGTCAGAGGTCACGGGTCACTCACCACCTCCTGGGATGGGTCACAAAGCCCACGGCGACTCCAACTTCTGGCAAAGACTATAATCCTCCCCAGTACCCAAGTAAGCGAAAGCGGAAGTACGTGGTCACTTCCGGGGGAAAGTCCCTCCTCTTGCATCCAGACCGGCTTCCGGAATGAAATACCATCGAGGCCACGCTGGGAAATCGGCGACCATAGAGATGGCGCTGCTGGCCCCGTGCGACTGGGAAGGCGACTTGCAAATGCTAGAGGGGACGCTAAAATACCATAGAGGCTTGGGCGGGGTGCAGAGCGTCCGCAGTCTGGTTCGAATTCAAGTCCCTTAGGTGGTCAGGGAGAGGTGTGAGTTTATTGGTTCAGTGGGAAGGAGCGTGGCGACAGAGAGCTGAACCGAGGCCCCACGTCCCTCACCCGGTCCCCGAGACCCGATGCCTGAGCAGCTCTGAGTTTCTGTTGTACATTAAAGCCACGTGGTACGCTTTAAAAAAAATCCCAGCCGGGCTCGGTGGCTCAGCCTGTAATCCCGCGCCTTGGGAGGCTGAGGTGAGTGGATTGCCTGAGCCCGCGGGTTCCAGACCCGCCTGGGCAACTTGGTGAGACCTCATCTCCACAATAAGTCAAAAAATTAGCCGGGTGTGGTAGCGCGCGCCTGTGGTTCCAGCTACTTGGAAGGCAAGGCGGAAGTTTCTCCGGAGCCCAGCAGGTCGAGGCTGCGGTGGCCGGAGCGGCCACTGCATTCCAGTCTGGGGGACGGAGTGAGACTCTTAACTCAAAAAAAAAAAAAAAAAATTCCAATGAGGCCAGGCGCTGTGGCTCACGCCTGTAATCCCTGGGCAACATAGCGAAACCTTGTCAATCAATCAATGAGTAAGTAAACAAATAAATAAGCTGGGCATGGTGGCGTGTGCCCGGGCAACATAGGGAGACCTCGTCTTTACAAAAACAAACAAACTGGGTAGCAAGCCCAGCTACTCAGGAGGCTGAGGCGGGAGGTCGAGGCTGCAATGAGCCGTGATCGTGTCACTGCACTCCAGCCTGGGCAACAGAGTGAGATCCTGTCTCAATAAATAAAATAAAAATCCCGATACCCAGGACCTACCTCAAGTCAACTAAGTCAGAGAAACCCAGGCATCGGTGAAATGTAAAATTCCCCAGGTGGCTCCTATGTGCAGCCAAATTTGAGAGGCTGTGCTGCCTAGGACATAGTGTGATTATTGCTGTGTGTAGGTTTCACTCAGCCCTCTGGGATTGTGAAGGTAAGGAGACAACGGTTCCTGTTCCTGCTTGTAAGAAGATGGGACACACATGGAGTATGCTTTATTCAACCTCTGTTAAACACCAGGAGCTATAAAGTCATGAAGAAGAGCAATTCTAGGTGACACCAGAGTTCATCCAATGCATTTGGGTGAGGAAGAAGGAGGATACTGAAAAGTCTTCATCCTTCAAGACTTAATGTGTTCCTCAGTTTGCACCATTCACCCCTTTCCCCATCCTCCAGAAGAAAAACCCCTGATTTTTCACACGGTTTCCCAGTAAACTAGAAATACAAGATATTAATTAACGGCTCGGGTACGTTGGCCATTAGAGAAGGTGAACTAGACATTTTCTGTTGTGCTCCTATGCTTCCCTAATTGTCCAAGACAGTCTGGATTTTAAACAGTTGGCCTCTTTATGGCTCTAAGAACTCATCTTTGTCAAACTCTGTGCCCTGATTCATACAGCAAAGTGTACAAAACACATGGACCTGAAACTTAATTAAATACACAGACTGGCCATGCATAGTGGCTCACGCCTGTAATCCCAGCACTTTGGGAGGTCAAGGTGGGAGGATTGCTTGAGCACTGGAGTTTGAGACCAGCCCGAGCAACATAGCAAGACCTTGTTTCTACAAAAAATAAAAACTTAGTCAGGTCTGATGGTTCGTGCCTATAGTCCCAGCTACTTGAGAGGCTGAGGCGGGAGGATCGCCTGATCCCAGGAGGATGAGGTTGCAATGAGCCTCATGCCACCGCACTCCATCCTCTGACAGAGTGAGACTCCAATTCAAAAAAGAAAAAATAAATAAATGCATTCATATAATCAACCTCTAGGTTAAGAGATAAAATAAATACTCCAAAGATTTATCTCTAGCTGGGCGTGGTAGCACACGCCTGTAGTTCCAGCTACTTGGAAGGCTGAGGCAATAGGATCGCCGGAGCCCAGCAGGTCGAGGCTGCAGTGGCCGGGAGCGGCCACTGCACTCCAGTCTGGGTGACAGAGTGAGACTCCAACTCAAAAAAAAAAAAGATTTATCTCATGTTCCTTTCCAGTCAATACCCTGTCTCTTGAAGTTAACCACTGTTCTGACTTTTGACACTATTAATTAGTTTTGTCTGTTCTTGAACTTCATGTAAATAGAATTATACATTATTTTCAGTTTTGTGCCTGTCTTCTTTAGCTCAATGTAATGTCTATAAGATTCCTCCCATACTGTTGTGTGTATCTGTTATTCATTCTGTTTTGTTGCTGTTGAGTGTTTGATTGTATGAATATACCACAATTCACTTATCCATTCTCCTGTTGATGGACATTCGGGTTGTTTCCAGTTTGGGGCTATTATGAATGATACTGCTATGATATTATTGTACAGATGTTTTAGGGGACATATCTTCCCCTGACTTTTGCTTTTGAAAATAGAGTCAACATGTTATGGAAGATTAAGAAACTGCATGGAAAAAGGAAATGGTTTCTTACAAGAGGAATCTGCCTTCTAAATGAGGTATTTATGAAAGGTTACCTACAGTGTGCTATGAAAGGTTACCTACAGTGTGAGTCCATCTAAACAACATTCTCAAAATCACAAAATTATAGAGATGAAGAGATTAATGATTGCATGGGGTTAGGGTTGGTGAGGGGAGGGAAGTGTGCCTATAAAGGGTATCATGAGATAGATTTTTGTGCTGGGTGTGGTGGTGCACACCTGTAATCCCAGCACAATAGAAGGCGAAAGGATTGCCTGAGCCCACGGGTTCGAGACCAACTTGGGCAACATGGTGAGACCTCGTCTCTACAATAAATCAAAAAATGAGATGGGTATGGTGGTGTGCACCTGTGGTTCCAGCTACTTGGAAGGCTGAGATGGAAGGATAGCCTGAGCCCAGCAGTTTGAGTCTGTGGTGGTGGTGAGCATGCCACTGCACTCTGGTCTGAGCAACAGAGTGAGAATTCTACGAAAAGGCAGAAAACAAATAAAAGACGCTACATAATAAAACACGTAGCCCATGTTAGATGCTGAATAAACATAATTGTTCTTAATTTTTATATTTTTGTCGGACCTTTATTAGCACACACAGAAAAGTAGCACAGTACATTGAGCGTCTATATATTTATCAGCACAACTGTTAATAGTTGGTCATATTTTCTTCATCTATCTTTGTCTCTAACAGATAAAGCCCTTTTTCTCACAATGCCATTTTCATGCCCTCAAAAATTTTTTTTTTTTTGAGTTGGAGTCTCACTCTGCTACCCAGACTGGAGTGCAGTGGCCGCTCCTGGCCACCACAGCCTCCATCTGCTGGGCTCTGCAATCCTTCCATCTCAGCCTTCCAAGTAGCTGGAATTACAGGTGCACACTACCACGCCCGGCTAATTTTTGACTTTTGATTGTAGAGATGAGGTCTCGCCAAGTTGCCCAGGCAGGTCTCGAATCCGCGGACTCAGGCAATCCACTCACCTCAGCCTCCCAAAGTGCGGGATTACAGGCTGAGCCACCGAACCCGGCTAGTGCTCTCAAAATTATAGTAATTTCTTAATGTCATCTAATGACCATATTTAATTTTCCCCAATTCCTCAAAAGCATTTTTTCAAATACTGTAGTAAGGACACTTAGCAGGAGACCTACCTGCTTAATAAATTAACTGCACAAATTAGTATTTTTAACTATGGAGGGACCCAAAAAAACCCAGAATTATCTTTTGGAGGGTGAGCTCCTTATAATATACCCAGAATTTGTTCTTCTACATCAGTCAACCAAAGTTTGTGTCTGGAAGTTTTGAGGAGGTTATATCATGATTTGCAGAAGAAATGTCTGGAACTGCGGCAAACAGGTGACTGGTTCTCCCACCATGACAGCGCATCTGCCCACACTGCACTGCTCGTTCAGTCATCCTCCCACCTCAACTTCCCAAAGTGCTGGGAGTACTAGTGTGAGCACGTGGCCTATCAGCTTTTTATTCTGAAATAATTGTAGGTTCACAGGAAGTTGCATAAATAGCATAGAGAGATCCTGTACACCTTGTACCCAGTTTTCACTAAAGGTTAAACTTTACGTAACGATATATGATATCAAAGCCAGGAAATTCACATTGATGCAATGTGTGTATAGTATTTGTTTGTTTGTTTGATTTTTTTTTTCTTGTTCTGTCCCCCAGGCTGGAGTGCAGGGGTGCAATCATAGCTACTGCAGCCTTGAACTCCTGAACCAAAATTGGCATGACCCCCATGCCTTGCCCTCTCTATTCACCCGGTCTTGCCCAGCAACTGTTTTTGGTTTTTCCCCTGGATGAAAAAAGTCCTCAAAGGGAAACATTTTGCCAATATGGAAGAGGTGAAACAAAAAACAGCAGAAGCACTAAAAGGCATCCAAATTGAATAGTTCAAAAACTGTTTGGAGCGGTGGAAAAAGCATTTCAATGGGTGTATCACATCAAACGGAGAGTACTTTGAAGGTGACTTAAGTTTAAATACATAAGAATAAATACACGGTTCTTTATCAATAAATTCCATTTTGGAAAGATCCTCCCTCATATATGTACCATATTGCACAGCAGA